GGGAATTTGGGTACCTAGTGTGAGCGTGCCCTTAGAGAAAAGATCTCGACAGTGTTAGATGTCCAGATGCATTCAGAATCTTGGCGGATCGCGAGTGGTGCAAGTATCGTCGACCCCGAACACAATGCACCCTCATTTTCGATGTACCTGGCCGAAATATCACTCGTATACATTCATTTTTAGGGTGCGTTATGTTCGGGGGAAGACCGTAGGCCGTTCGTCGGATTGACCGGCCCGAGGGCCATTGACCTGCCCGAGGTAATGGCCCTCGCTCCACTGCTCACCAAATGCGCAAAATAGGAACGAATCTTGCCCTAGAACATGGAAAGAGACACCGCTATATTTTTTTTGTTTTGTGCATTTGGTGAGTAGCGGAGCGAGCCGCAATTAATATAGGGTTAGTTGGCCATCTGAGCTCGGGATTCGAACTCAGGTTTCGATATCAAGAGTGCATGGGGTGTACCAGGCATCCACTTTTTTTTTTTTTTTTTTTTTTTACCATGCAGCCACATGAGCTGGTGCTGGTCCTTTTGTTCCGTCCGTCCTGGTCACAGTCCGGGCCTTGTTCCACTACTCCCCATCCGCCACAAACAGTGGCCAGACTTGGGGCCTCGTTCCACTACTCGCCATCCGCCACGCATGGGGGATGCGACCGCCAATAGCCACGAAATGGACGCTGTCAGAATTTGGGTCCGAAATCACTTGGAGATGTGTCGCCAAGGCTTCCCATTTCCCCCGCCTGCAACGGCCCTTCATGGAGGTGCTACTCCTCACCCCTCCGCGAAATGCTTCGTGTGGCCATTGCCCCTGACACAGCGGTCCTGACAGTCGACCTGTGTTGTCCCCTAGTGTTGGCGAGTTTTTGCTGCACCTGGATTCATTTCCAGTCCGAGTACATGGTGAAGAGAAGGCCGCCACCGTTCCATTAGCTCGCCATCCGCCACAGTCCGGGGAGCAGGCCGGGACAGGAACCACAGCGCATGTGGCGGTGGCGATGTAATGGAACCAAGAGCCGTTTTCCGCCAGAAAAATGCACTTTTCGGCCTCGCCAAGTCTCGCCACTGTTTGTGGCGGATGGCGAGTAGTGGAACGAGGCCCTTGGCGAGGCCGAAAAGTGCATTTTTCTGGCGGAAAAAGGGTCAGATCCCACAACCCTGGATTATTCATTTTTCACCCTCGATTACGAAGATTAATGGTCAGAAATGAACAATAGGGGCTAGTGGGATCTCGCCCTTGGTTCCATTACATCCCCGCCACCACATGCGCTGTGGTTGCTGTCCGGGCCTGCTCCCTGGACTGTGGTGGGTGGCCAGCTAATGGAACGGTGGCGGCATTCTTTTCACCGTGTACTTGGACTGGAAATCACTCCAGGTGCAGCGAAAACTTGCCAAGCGAAAACTTGCCAACACTAGGGGGCAACACAGGTCGACCGTCAGGACCGCTGTGTCAGGGGCAATGGCCACACGAAGCATTTCGCGGAGGGGTGAGGAGTAGCGCCCTCCATGAAGGGCCGTTGCAGGCAGGGGAAATGGAAAGCCTTGGCGACACATCTCCAAGTGATTTCGGACCCAAATTCTGACAGCATCCATTTCGTGACTATTGGCGATGCAGTGGAACGAAGTCGCATCCGCCATGCTTGGCGGATGGCGAGTAGTGGAACGCGGCCCTCCATCTCACGACGCTCCCTCCCAGGCCCATCGGCACAAACATCTTCCCCGAACACAATGCACCCTCATCATGAATGCTTAGAAGCTTATTTATGATGTCGGACAGATGCTGCCGGCATAACAAGGGTGCGCTGTGTTCAGGGGCAAGGTCCCACTTGCACAAATTAGGAGATTTCGGTCGTTGATCTTTGCTATCTACGGTCAGTATCTCTTAATTCGTGAAAGTGGGACCTAGCCCCAGAACAAGACGCTACGGGTAGGGTTGGTGGTCCCCTACACTAATCATGAAACAGAGACGATGGGGAGTGCATCTTCACACAGAAGTGGCAAGCTGAACTTTCAGACATAGCAAACACGGATAAGAAAGGCAAGCTGAATTGGGGTTCAGACCTATGAAATACCAGCGGCCGACCGCGGTCTGCGGCCGCGGCCGGGAAGTCGCTGTCATGACCGCGGCGACTGCGGTCTGCCGGGGCCCACAGCGGCCGAGGGGAGAGGGGGTTGGGGGTCGGGGTTGCGAATTAGCGTTCCGAAACCCTCACCTTACCCCCTTGGGGAAAAAAAAGTTAAAAAAAATAATTTTCGGGGGGGTCATTTTTTGTGTGTGGAAAAAATATATATATATAGAAAAATAAATAAATATGGATTGCTTGATTGGTTTTTAATTGATTGATTGATTGATTGGTTGATTGATTGATTGATTGATTGATTGATTGATTGGTGGGGGAGAGGGTCCTCCCAACCCTCCCCCCGCCACAGACACACACACACACACACACACACACACATAAAAAAATAATAATAAAAGTTATAATCTTAGTTAATAATAAATCTGTTTTTAATAATAATATAAGTTATAATAGAATAACAAAATAATTGAATAATAAATAATAAAATAATTAAAAATTAAATAACTATATAAGTAATATCAATTAAATAATAATAGTATAATAATAATGATAATAAGTAATAATAATAATAATAATAATAATAAATGAAGTTAAATAATTAAAAATTACTATTAAGAAAAATAATAAAACTTACCACCAACCCGGATCCAACATTGTGTATGCTGCATATCTTATAAATTAAAGAATACTGTTACACTAAATTTTTAAATAAGGCCTTCGCATACCCAGTACTCCCCCAATAAACTACTGAGTACGATTTCACGATATGGCACTCACCACGCCTCCCACAAAATGGAAACTATATCTTTTTATGCCAAACATACATTGACTGTAACACGGTTATGGGTCTGCATTGCAATGTATACAATGGCACTGATAATATAACTATACAACCCTCCCACGCAATTAAAAAAAACGTTTCACACACGGTACCGCACTCCCAAGCAAATACACCCGCAACCCACAACACCACCACCCTGAAACGACACAACCGAGCACGCAACGAAAAGACACAGCACACGCGTGCTCGACAGTAAAAGAACAGACAAAACACTGCTCCCCCCATAGCCAAAACTCCCCCTTATGAAAACGACAGCCGATAAGACAATACCCCACGGGCCGATACACATACAGACAAAAGAACAACTATACAATACTGACTCCTCGACGGCCATATCGATGCACACACTTACCTTATGCAATTATACCACGACTCACCCAAAATTTCAACGCAACCCACACCCTGATGCTCCGTACCTATCAAACATCACCAAGTGATTACCCCCCCCCTAGGCCCCTCACTTCTTGTTAAAATAACACACGCCACCCTCACCCTCGCATAACTTTGAACGGCGCAAAACAAGAAGTCGCAACACGACACTTAAAACCCACAATAACTCGGATACACCACATACACCCCTCATAACTGGGCTTCAAACTCCGCCAAAATGGATCTCCTGCCCCTACCCCCAATCTACCTTACCTTTGGTATACCCTCCTTATACACCTTAGTTTCCTATCATATACTAATCCCCCGCAGGTTGCACACCCTCTTTATTATGCATCATATATTCAAGAGATGTAGCTTTTTCCATAACCGCTGGCGTCCCCGTGCACTAGCACACGAGTTCTCGCCTGAATGACATGCTCCTCTACCTCCTTCACGGCACAGTTGTTCCTCCGGTTTGAAGAGCTGTTCGCCTAGCAGTTCCTGCTCCTTGCATCGGTAAGAAGTACGTCCGTTCACCGGATGCTCAGCTTACGCTGAATATCGATCTGACGTTTCGCTACGCAAGCGCACACAGTGCTATGGCGGCGACTGATCCTCAAGCTGCACCGATCTTGACTTCTCAGGTAAGGATTTCTAACCATGGTCTACCTCCTGCACACTCTCCCCCTTCTATCCCGTGCTTCCCTGCTCTCCCGAAGCGACCTTTTTTCTTTCTTCCCCAATACTGCTAA